GCCAGGATGGTCTCGATCTCCTGACCTCATGATCCGCCCGTCTCGGCCTCCCAAAGTGCTGGGATTACAGGCGTGAGCCACCGCGCCCGGCCTAATCTTTTAAACTATTAATTCTTTAGAATAGAATAATCTTAATTCAAACGATCCCTAACTTAGATCGACTTGTGATTTTTTGACTTTATGATGGTGCGAAAGTGATATGCATTGAGTAGAAAGTGTGTTTCGAATTTTGAATTTTGAACTTTTGCCAGGCTAGCAATGTGTGGTGTGACACTCTCTCACGATGCTGTGCAGCAGCATTGAGCCACAGCTCCCAGTCAGTCATGCCGATGTAAGGGTTCTGAGCACCTTTAAGGTAGGGTAGGCTAAGCTGTGTTTGGTATGTTAATTTTATTAAATGCATTTTCAACTTACGATGGGGACATAACCCTGTCGTAAGTTGAGGAGCATCTATAAAATAATTCTAGTACAGTTCACCTACTCTTTTGTCTGATTTTATAATTTAGAATAATTATTACCTTGTTTTTATTGACTCCCTGCTATGAAAGATGATGGAATTAGTTATTTAACTCTTTAGCAATAGGGAATTTGTTACCTGCTGTATTCTTCAAATTTTTTTCCATGTGCATGAATTGCTTTTAAAATTAGAGGCAGAAAAAGAAAATGAAATTAACATTTACTGAGCACCACAATGAATTGCTTTTAAAATTAGAGGCAGAAAAAGAAAATGAAATTAACATTTACTGAGCACCACAATGAATTACTTTTAAAATTAGAGGCAGAAAAAGAAAATGAAACTAACGTGTACTGAGCACCACAGCACTCTTGCTACTATTCTAGGTATTTGGGAGCAGGCATGTAAGGGAAGGGTGTAAAAATAGGACTTACAGTATAAAATAGGGTATAAAACTAGATCTTCCAAATACATATTTTCTAGTTGGAGAGACATATTTTACACATCTGTAATTTAAAACAGAATGAGGTAAGTGCTAGATGGAGAAAAAAGTATACTTGAATCATAAAAACCGTTAAGCAGCACTTAACAGTGTTAAATATATAAACACTCTTAATTATAGAACTGTACTCAAACAGAAAACCAACTTCCACTAAACTGCTGCCCCCAAAAGGAACATATTCTGGGTGTCAAGTTCTATTTTTTGCTTTTCGAGACGGAGTCTCGCTATGTCGCTCATCCTGGAGTGCAGTGGTGGTGCGATCTTGGCTTACTGCAACCTCTGCCTCCTGGGTTCAAGCAATTCTCCTGCCCCAGCTTCTCAAGTAGCTGGGATTACAGGCACGCGCCACCAGGCCCAGCTAATTTTTGTATTTTTAGTAGAGATGGGGTTTCACCATGTTGGCCAGGCTGGTCTTGAACTCCTCACCTCAGGTGATCTGCCTGCCTTGGCCTTCCAAAGTGCTGGGATTACAGGTGTGAGCCACCGTTCCTGGCCTGGGTGTCAAGTTCTAATGACTTTTCTTTTACTTTCTTTTTTGTTGAGTTTTTCTGGGACCTGCTTAGCTGCCAGTGTTTCGTTTCTGTTTTTTTGAATTATTTCTGTTTTTATCCAGACAGCTTCTATGTTTGGTGAGTCTTTGACCTGGCTCAGGCAGTAGTTGTTGTCTTCAAATGTCTGAGAATCTTTAATTGGCTGTTTTATTTATAGTTGAAGGACTAGGTCAACAAGTGTAGGTAGCTGTCATGTGTTTCCTCTGTAATTTCAAAGGGCTGTCTCTCTACCAGGCTCTTCCCTTCAGTGGGAATACTGACTTGTAGGCTCTAAGTAAGTGGACAGGTTTTGTTATTTGGCAGACTTTTCTTTAGGCTGCGTGGCCTGGGAGCAGCGTATGTCTAGGCTTAGCCAGAAGGTGTTCTCTAGTCAAATGGCTATAATTGGGCTCGAGAAAGAATAATAGTAAATATCATATCTTGATGTGAGCTTGTTTTCTATTCCATTTAGTTACCTGGTCGTATCTTGGTATTGTAGTAGTTTAATTATATCATTTTAATATCTTGTAGGACTAGAGCTACTTCCTTACCCCCTTTAAAAATGCATAGGTTTTTTCTTTTTTTTTTGAGACAGAGTCTCATTCCGTTGCCCCGGCTGGATCTCAGCTCACTGCAACCTCCTCCTCCTGGGTTCAAGCTATTCTTGTGCCTCAGCTTCCCAAGTAGCTGGGATTACAGGTGTGCACCACTGTGCCTGGGTAATTTTTGTATTTTTAGTAGAGACAAGGTTTTGCCATGTTGACCAGGTTGGTCTTGAACTCCTGGCCTCAAGTGGTCCACCTGCCTCAGCCTCCCAGAGTGCTGGGATTACAGGCATGAGCCACTGCACTCAGCCAAAAAGTCATAGGCTTCTTGCCTATTTATTTTTCTCCATGGTTCAGTGTATCTTTCAAAATGAGTTTATAGGCAAATGTATCTGTTGATATTTGGGGAATATCCTTACATTGGAATACAGTATAGATGTTCTGTAAACAATAATGATTTCATTACATGGAAAGTTGAAACATTGTGAACTTGGAAGGAAAATATTTATTCTTATTTCTGTTTGTGTAACTTAAAATGGAGGTGGTTACCAGAATTGAAATACTGCTTTTAGTTGTTGGAAAAATTGTGAAAGACTTTGAAATTGGCAAAAAGATATCTAGGTATCCTTTCAGTGGAATATTGGCTGTTGTCTAGTGAACTCTCCGGGATTATCTGATTCTGGGGGTGTGTGCCTTAGATTTTCTTTGGCCAGCCTATTTTACACCTGTCAGTTGTTTAGAAAGAAAAGGATAGCAATGCAAATGAGGTATGTCCATAGAAAGGCAGTGAAATTTGTATGGAATGGTATGGTTGATTTTCACATTGTCGAAAAAGATGATTCAGTTTTCCTCTATAGTAAGCATATATTTCTATCTATTAGTAAATGCGTTTTCTGATTCTTGTTTATTTATTTATTTATCTATTTTTGAGACAGAATCTCACTGGGTTGCCCAGACTGGAGTGCAGTGACACGATCTCAGCTCACTGCAACCTCCGCCTCCTGTGTTCAAGCAATTCTCTTGCCTCAACCTCTTGAGTAGCTGGGATTACAGGCATGCGCCACCACGCCTGGCTAATTTTTGTATTTTTAGTAGAGACAGAGTTTCACCATGTTGGCCAGGCTGGTCTCGAGCTCCTGACCTCAGGTGATCTGCCTGTCTCAGCCTCCCAAAGTGCTGGGATTACAAGTGTGAGCCACCACGCCTGGCCTGCTAACTGCATTTATATATGTCCGTGCTTTAGATTGTCCTTTGAACTGGTTTTTATGTCTGCTGGTTCTCTCATTAATTAGTAAATAAAATCATTGATGACATGTTCATTAAAAAAATAATTTACACAAACTTTAAAAAATAGGACATTGTAAGTTATATGAATTCAAGAGATGGAATTCTATGCAAAGAATAGTATTTAATAAAAGAACTAACACTAAACTTTGTAAGGTCTTTCAACAGTATATTGCCAGACCCCATAAGAGAACTCAAATTGTGAGAATCGACTTTGGTTTTTCAGAGTGGCAGCAACTACGCTTATTTGGAACAGCTTGAGAGCTTGTCTGCGAAAGGACGCCCTATCCCTGTGCGCCTTGAAGCACTGCCGCAAGTGGAATCTCAGGTGGCAGCAGCACGGGCATGGAGAGAACGGACTGGGCGGACCTTTCTTAAGAAGAATTCTAGCCATACGTTGTTACAGGTACTTGAACTTCAACACTCTCATGAACTTCAGCACTCTTATAAGCCGCTGGTAATTTCAGTGGTAATAGTACTGGTGAGGGTTGTTTTCAGTGTATCTGATTACCGTTATACAAGTGATTCTTACTGGGTGATATCAGATGGTGACTTACTGGGTGGTATCAGATGTGACTTACTGGGTGACATCAGATGGCGACTTACTGGGTGACATCAGATGTGACTTACTGGGTGACATCAGATGGCGACTTACTGGGT